GGAGAGACCTCTGTGGCTGCTTCCAGGGGAGGATGGGTTAGCCCAGGGCCTGTCCTCTTGTCGGATTAACATAGGCAAGGAAGCTGCAGAGGTCCTGAGTCAGTGAGAGGAGGCCAGGAGACAGAAAAGGACTTGAAAGGAGGGAAAAGCCTCAGTACTTGTCTCCCTGACATGGGGTGACCCAGCTCCTGCAGCTCTGATTGCCAAAGCGGGGAAACTGAGCCTGGGAGCCAAGTAGTGGTGAACAGGGGGCAAGAGGGGGCTGACAGGGGTGTCCTGCATCAATGGCCATAGGACACTTGGCAGGGCTGCTAATGTGAGCCCCTGGTTCGGTTTCCTGGTGCTCCCTCAGGCACACACCTTGTCGGCGGCGGCACTGCGCCTGCCTGGGCCCCCGAGGCGGGAGGCCGGGCTGTGTTTGGTCAGGGCAATTACGGCAGGATAATAGCAGCCTTGTGCAGCTGTGAGAGCCCCCCTGCTCCCATCCCCGCCCCCGGCTCGGAGTCCTTCCCCCTGCCCGGCCTGCGCAGCTAACAGCTTTTCCATGGCCTCCCCGTTCAACAGCTGCGCGGGGGCTCTGCACTTCGGCTCGTTGCGCACCGCAGCACGGGGCTGGCTGGGGGCTGTGTGCCGGGGCTGGGCCATAGCTTTGCTAGAGCAAACAGCCCCTGGAAATGGGACTCCAAGGAGCTGTCAACCTTTTCTGGCATTCCCAGTGCCCCATGGACACTGGCCCCATGTCCCTGGCCTCTCCCCCAGGGCTATCAGTAATTCCCTGCTCCAGTGCCTCGCTGTCTGCTGCAATTAACCTTTGCAGTCCAGACTGGCAGGAGCTGGCAGACGGCATGTCTCCGAGCAAGGATGAAACGAAACCCCAATAATGGAGATAGAAATGAAGAGAAAATGGCCCACGATCAGCCCCTGGAGGGCCGCTCGCTGTCTGGAACAGCCCGAGGCGCCGGTTGAAACCTTGCACCTGTCCGAGAGATGCTGTGACGATCTCTGCCGACACGCGCTGTGCCCCTGGCCGCCAGGAGCAGGGGGCACGGGTGTCCATCCGGGTGGACTACTGGTGTCGCGCGGAGATGGGAGACGGCACCTCGCAGGAGACCCCGGCGCCTGCTTGTGCCAGGGCCGTGTCCGGGGCTGCCGTGGGGGGTCCGGCGCCGGGGGTCCCGGCCAGGTACCGGGGGCGGCGCTGGGGCCGGCCCC